CGCCTTCTCATCTTAGGTAACAATCCAGGCACCGCATCTCAACATACCTGATCCTGACTGCCATCTATCTTATACAAAGTCCATTCTTATGCAAATCAGAACCATAAGGCAGTCCATAAAGAGCAGTCAGAGGTAAAAGGCAGTCAGTGCCAGTCACTTGTAACAGTTGGGGATCTGGAACTAAATGTCCAATCTCCGTCTGATGTCTATGGCCAGGCTATTACTTTGGAAGCCAAATGCCCCCGAAGCTGAGAAACATATGTGAGTTCATAAATGAAACCTGCGCACATAGGAAGTGTGCACCCTTAAGGTGCCCATACACCTTGGGGTCCCCACACACCTTACGATTATCGTACGAAATCCCGCGATCGTACGATGATCGTAAGGTGTGTGGAAGCCGTGCGACCTCTACCACTGTAAGGTCGCACGACTTTAAACTTATGGACATGTTCGAAAACCCGCCGAGCATCGTACGATGTTCGGCCGGTTTGTGGCATGTCCGTACGATAACAGCCGTACGGGCCGGCGTGCGCAAGCGCACACTGCCCGTTCGGCATTGCGGTCATCGGAAGCCCGCCCCTCAGGGGGCGTGGCTTGCGATCATCGCAAGTACGATCTGCCTATGCAACATAGGCAGATCGTACGTTTTTTTAAGTACCTAACAACCATCGCAAGACAAAAGTGTTGCGATGGTTGTAAGGTGTGTGCCCAGCCTTGCAATTATCTGCAGATTTTCTGTGGTCAGATGGAAAAAGTGCAACAGATTGGCCCAGGTGGAGATTACTCCATCCACACAGTTAAGTGTAGATGGAGGAATCTGTTGCACCTATTCCATCTGACCACAGAAAATCTGCAGATAATTGTAAGGTGTATGGGCAGCTTAATGCAGGATGACAAGTATAAATGCTTCAATAAAGCAATGGCTCTTCCTGGTAAATGTGAGCCATTATACATACTTATTACATCTCAGATTTGCCTGATGGTGTCTCCCAGCTGCTCCATAATAAGCCCGCTTTAGGGAGATGTCACAAGTGCTCTCAGGGATAATTCCTCATTATTACAATCTGGAAACAGGTGTTCTGCGGCAGATTCCTGTCCTGATGCCTGTGGCAGCCGCACATTCATCTGCAAACAATGCGGAATGGCTAAATTGCTTCATTTCCAGGCTGATAGATGGTGGCCATCCACAATAGAGCAAGCTGTGTTTTATCACACACACAGGGACACAAATCCTGAACCTGTATAGACAATGCTGTGTGCATTGTGCACAACACAGGAGGCCAGACATGGAAAGATAAAGAGAAGAATATCACCCAATTACTAACATTACCAGTGAACACAGATTCATACATAGCATCTGATTGATCAGTGTAATCATGGTGACTCTAAGATTCAGACTTCAATGGGTTATCTGATATGTGCCAGAAGAGGGCGGCTGTGTCCGGCTTAGCCCTACTTCAAGGAGAACTCCACTTTGGCTAACAGTATATACCTTGACTCTATCTATCTAGCTGTCCATCCTAGATAGAAAGATGGCTAGATAGATAGATGGATGGATAGATGATAGGTAGATATGGAAGGATATAGATAGATAGATCGCTAGATAAACATCCGTCTGTCTGTCTATCCATATCTACCTATCAACTATCTATCCACCCATCTACCTACCTATCTATCCATCCATATATTCGTTGGTCTATCTATCCATCCATCTATCTATCCCTCCATCCATGTATGTATATATCCATTCATCCATCTATCTGTCCGTCCTAGATAGAACGATGGCTATATAGATATGGATGGATATAGATAGATGGATAGATCGCTAGATAAACATCCGTCTGTCTGTCTACCTATCCATCCGTCTATCTACCAGTCCATCCATCTTCTATCTATCCATCTGTCTGTCTATCTATCGTCTATCTATCTATCTATCCATCCATCTATCTATCTACCCATCCATCTATCCGATGAGTCGTGTCTCATCGTCTATCTATCCGTCCATCTATTTATATATCTATCTGTCCACCCATCTCTCCATCCGTTCGTCCATCCTAGATAGAACGGTGGCCAGATAGATAGACGCACATCCGTCTGTCTATCCATCTATATCTGTCTGTCCGTCCTTGATAGAACGATGGCTAGATAGATAGACCTAAGTCCATCCGTCCGTCTATCCATCTATCGATCTGTCTTATCTATCCACCTGATTCATCCTTCTAGTCATCTACCTATCACGCCATCCGATCCGCCCAGCCTTCAGGAAGAACTACATCCCCCGGCATGCTCAGCGCGGAGACGGAAGTTAAACGAAACTGAAAACTAGACAGTTGTGAGCAGCGGAGGTTGAAAAGTGTGCTGGGGGGGATAGGGCGGGTGTGTGACCGGGGAGGAAAGAGACACGACTGATGAGCGGGGACAGGCCGTGCGGTAAGTACCGGGTGTTGTCATTCATGTGAGGGCGGAAATGGGTGATCATAGTAGGGTGTACGGCCCATGAGTAGGCCTTGCAGCTGTCTGGTGAGTACAGTGAACACATATCTCTGAACAAACACATTATCTCTGTGTATTCATGTGACCTGTATGAAGGACAGTGTGCACATATTTTGGGTGTTTGTATAAATGCAGGATGCCACTGACCCTAGAGGGCCTTCCATCTCCTGCACATTGGCTGTGATCCCCTTTGTCCATCCAGACGCGGGCAGGTGAGCCCCCTTTGCCCATCCTAAAGCGTGGCAATAAAATCCCTTTTGCCCATTCTAATGCATGGCGGAGAGCCGCCCCTTTCCCATCCAGACGCGGGCTGGCGAGCCCCCTCTGCCCGTCCAGACGCGGGCTGGAAAGTCGGTGAGCTCCCTTTGCCCATCCAGACACAAGTCGGTGAGCTCCCTTTGCCCATCCAGACACAAGTCGGTGAGCTCCCTTTGCCCATCCAGACACAAGTCGGTGAGCTCCCTTTGCCCATCCAGACACAAGTCGGTGAGCTCCCTTTGCCCATCCAGACACAAGTCGGTGAGCTCCCTTTGCCCATCCAGACACAAGTCGGTGAGCTCCCTTTGCCCATCCAGACACAAGTCGGTGAGCTCCCTTTGCCCATCCAGACACAAGTCGGTGAGCTCCCTTTGCCCATCCAGACACAAGTCGGTGAGCTCCCTTTGCCCATCCAGACACAAGTCGGTGAGCTCCCTTTGCCCATCCAGACACAAGTCGGTGAAGGTCTGTCTAATTCCCATTATATATCTGAAACTGCCCTCCTGCCCAGAGTTACATTTAAAGGCTCACCCCAGTACACTGGGTGGGTGACAATTGTGGTCCCCAGGCAAGCAGCCCTGTCACTAGCCTGTGATGCACCATATCCACACTACTCTAGCCTGACATTGATGAGGACCGGCTGCTTTACCAGGCAAAGTGTACTTCTGGTCATTAACAACAGTGTCAGCGAATGCTGTAAGGGAGTCAGGAATGCAGCTCTAATGTATTGCCAGCAAAGGTTCGCCTGTTGGTTTAGTGGGCTAAAATGTTGGCGCTCCTAGAAATCATCAACTTTAGTTGTCAGTCTGTTGTTGTACACACACCGGCACGGCTCGCGGTGGGGTGGGGGCAGACCTGGTATATTACTATAAAACAAAAACCTGTGCCGCCTTCCCCAACTGGAGAGTACCAGGCAGCCCACATGAGAATGGTATACGCCGCCACCTGTATAAAATGATAAACAGCGCTATACTCCATTTGTAAAAGTTCTATAGGTGCACTACAGTGGCGTTTGGAATCTCTCAATCTTTCTCACAATTTCTTCAGATCCAACTGACAATGGCTCACACCTTCACCAGACAGCACACAAGCCAACATGTTCAAGAAGGTTGACTGACTGGCCGAATGGACCGGGGAGGGGGCGGGTACACCTGGCTCTGCCTCTAGATAGGCAGATCCAGCTGTCACTCACACAGCTGGTTGGATCCAGACAGTAATGTCGGGATCCGTCCCGGCGTCTCAGTGTATAGGGAGCTACAGCTCGCGGTATACTGAGCTTAGGGTGACAGGAGGACGCTAGTTTGTGTCCTCCCGTGACCCTTAGGAGAACTATGGGGGAAAGCACTGACCGCATACTTCTCCTTTTAAACTCTCAAACTTTTTCACAGTAATGAATCCAGATCAGAAAAATATACAATGCAAAGCATTGCTTTAAATTTTTGTCCAAGCACTTAGTCATCAGAATTCCAGACAGCTCCAACTCTCTCAGCTCGGCTTCCCTGAACTTCCTGTCCAGTACAAGATCACAAGGGACAGAGCAATCTCCAGCAGTCCATGGACTAGCCTGGGAAGGGAGGAGAGAGGAAGCAGGAGGGGAAGAGTGGGGATCAGGAAGATCGGAGTATCTTGCCTTGCTTTGCCTGTGATTGTGTAGAGACCCACAGCTTACTAGCACACACAAAGGTGGCTCCATAGAACCCTGCAAGGGAAAGGAACCACCCTAAAAATGTTCTGCAGGAAACTAAAATGTTTAAACATCAAAGAGCAGCATTCGTTGTAAGTGATTTCATCGGCATTTAAAATAGCTTAACAACCTTTTGACTTCAGTATTACTTTAAATACAAGACTTCTAAACTGCAGGAGGATGATCTGGGCATGTGTAAAATAGTGACCACCAGAGTGGTGAGAACCAGGCTCTTAGACAGGTGCTCTTTGCATTTTCAGGACCAAATAATTCCATTACACTCCTCGGCATTTGCTCCGTTCTGCGACAGTGGCAATCCGCTCCTTCTTATTGTTTCTTATTTATCATTACCTATCAGGGCACACCAGCAGCCTGGGCATTCAGCGTGGCTTGCTGGTTATGAATGGGCACTAATTGTTCCTAAAATGCAGGTAATGATTTCCAGGATGAGAACGTACAGAACTCGCATAGGAATATGCAGGATGATAATAGATCAGGATTCTCTAGTAATGTTTATTCATCATAAACCATCTTTTCTGATTTGTTTTGGCAGGATGGTGAGGAGAAGTCTGATTTTTCTGGTCGCTTGTAAAAGGTTAGTACTACAGTCACCAGATGATCTTAAAGTGACACGAAACTCAGGAGTTAAACTTTAAAAATACATCCAAGTACCTCAACTACTAACAAAAATGTATCTTCTTTGTGTATCACTCGGCTGTAGATCCTCCAATCATCTCTGAATTGGTGCTGACACTGTCCTTCCTTCTGGAGGGTGGCTACGTCTGTTCCCCATGGTCCCTGTGTGTGTTGTAAAGTAGTCACCAGTCCAAGCTCACTCCTGTGAGGGACTACAATCCCAGGTTTAGTTTACTAATTTGTACTGATATTGTAGTCCATCACAGGAGTGAGCTTGGAGCGGTGACTACTTTACAACACACACAGGGACCATGGGGAACAGACGTAGCCACCCTCCAGAAGGAAGGACAGTGTCAGCACCAATTCAGAGATGATTGGAGGATCTACAGCCCAGTGATACAGAAATAAGATACATTTATGTTAATTGTAAGACCTCATTCACACAATAAACAGCCGGTATGTACAGCTCTGTGCTGCGTGTATCGGGCAGCTCCCGGGGGGGACCGGTGCTGCGTGTGATTAGGACGCAGCCCCTCTTTCTCTATGGGAGTACGCGGCCGTACGCCGCCCTATGCTCACCCGCCCTGCACGTCCGTGCGGGTGTCCGTACTGGTACGTTGACAGGTTGGATCCTGTTTGCGTCCGAGCCTGGACACCCGCACAGACCTGCACTTGGGGTCAGCGTAGGGGTGCGTAGGCCACGTACTCCCATAGAGAAAGACTGGCTGCGTCCTAATCGCACGCAGCACCGGTCCCCCCCCGGGAGCTGCCCGATACGGCCGCGCACACAGCACGGAGCTGTACATGCCAGCCGTTTCTCATGTGAATGAGGTATAAGGGTACTTGAATGTATTGTTAAGGTTTAACTCTTGAGTTTAGTGTCACTTTAACTAATGCAAGTGTATTGTTTTGTCATTTAGAAGCATGGTCTCTACAAAGCTTTTAGGCCCCATTCACACCTAGGCGTATTGTAATATGCGCGTCTGTCGCACGTTTTTTTACCGCGATTCGCGGTAATAAAGTTGCGTGACCGTCGCGCGATTCCAAAGGCTACCTGGCTGTATCCCAATGGAAAACGCCCTACAAAACGGCCCAAAGTAGTCCCGGGACCTTTTCAGGCGTGGGCCGTTTTGTAGGGCGTTAGGGATGGGCGGAAATACGGCGAGGTGGGAACGAGGGCATTGACTACAATGCAATTTATATTTTTGACCGTTTTGTAGAGCGTTCGTCGAGCGTAGAACGCCCTACAAAACGGTCAGGTGTGAACGAGGGCTTAGAGTACAACCCTAAGGAATTCGAAATAAATATTAAGATTGTGGTTTCGACTCCCCAGAAATGAGAAATCACTGGGGCACATACAGAGTAGAATGCGGCTGCGTATCCGCTCCTTGATTGACACAAAAGCTTGATGCTGGAATTGGCAGCCATTTCTGTGGCACATTTTGATTACACGCATGGTTGGATTTGACAAAACTGTATGTTTGGCTTGGTACTTGTGTAATTGTTTTTAGTTTCCCACCATTGTTATGTGGCTGCTGCATTTGTCTAACCCGGGGAGGTGTCAGCTCTGTCTGAGTTCAACTGTTTCTGAGAGTTTTGCTAATGTTTATTCGTATGTCCGAGTGCTGGAGAGGAAATAAACTGTTCATGTAGCTTGGTCAGAGTTTAAGTGGCATAAAGTCACAATCCCCCCCCATCCCCATGCTGGTGTAAGGACTTACTTTAAATGATGCCTCTTGATCCGATCATCTTCTTTTCAGTAGTTTTCATGAGTCCCTCCAGCGCTAGTGCTGTTTTTTGATCCAGCGCTGACTGTTTCTTCCTGTGTCCCACGGTGTCTGTCCGCTTGCACGCTGACGGCTGCTTGCATTGACTTACCCGGTGTCTCTCCTTTTCTCCTGGCCGAAGATCTCTACTGCGCATGTGTCGCCCCATCATCTTTCACAGGCGCTTGAGAGTCTTCAGATCTTCAGCCAGGTGCGAGCGGCAGAGACACAGGTAAGTTTTTTAACCTATTTGGTAACTTTTTTTTAACGTTTTTGCATATATTTACTGCTTGCTAGCAGTAGATATATGCAAAAAGACAAAGGTTTAATTCTGCTTTAACCCCTTCGTGACTGACGACGTGCATCGGGGCTGTTTAAAGAAACTCAGGAGTGAAATCTTAAAAATGAAGGTTTCTTTAAAGCTGGAGTATTTCTAACATTGGCCCTCCTCTCCAGGTGTTGTGGAACTACAAATCCCATGAGCAGGGCTCTCGTCTGTGTCGAGAGGACTGCAGAGCCCAACGAGTAGCTTCCCGGCCGCCCGTTGTAATTAACCGGCCGCCCGGGAGTTTTACATTCAAGCCCGATCGCTTGTATTAGCCGTCACATGACAATAAACAAAAATGTATCAGTACTCGTACTTGGAAGTACTCGGCAAGTACCAGTACTCTCAAAACTGGTATCTGTGCATCCCTTTATTTATAAAAACAAAATCATACATTAAAACGGAGATGTAGAAATCCCAGGAGCTCCGTGTGCTCCTTACAAATGACAGCTACCTCCTAACGTTTGAGTTTTTCTCTAGTCTAGTCTTGGAGCTCAAAAGTATCTGTACTTGTATTTGTACCGAGTACAGTACTTGGTATCTGTGCAATAGTGTCCCTATTATATAGTAAAAAATAAAAAACCCCGTGGTGATTAAATACCATCAAAAGAAAGCTCTATGTGTCCCTAAAAAATGTTAACATAAGTAGCAAGGCTACTGTCCGGTCATGCTGACTGGTGAGACACCATAAAATGTTTCAAGCCCTGCCCATGAGGCACTGCAAGACTGACAGAAACAGGCATGACTCCCAGAGGCAAATGATGGGATTTGTAATTTCACTACAGCTAGAGGCGCTTTAAAGGCATCAACGTAGCTTGAAGCTTGCTGAAAGCTTTGAAAATAATCTATAACAGTTTGCTGATAAAAAAATATTATATATAGATTTTCCCTGGCAAGGCCATTGGGACCCTGTAAGACACTCTATTATCTTCAGCTACTACAGTGTCTTATAGCAATCTTCCAGGATCAGCTGCTGTACTGAGCAAATTCCCCTCCACTGTCTGTTTGGATGTCACAGCACTGTCCCTTGTCCAGTCAGAGAATGGCTAGTATTCATTGATTTAAAAATACTATGAATTGGCTTAAAATGACATTAAAGTCACCCTCCCCCCGTTTGAGTTCAACTGTTTCTGAGAGTTTTGATAATGTATATTCGTATGTCCGAGTGCTAAGGAGGAGATACACTGTTCATGTGGCTTGGCCAGAGTTTAAATGACATTAAAGTCACAATCCGCCCCTCCGTGCTAGTGTTAGGACTTACCTTAAATGAAGCCTCTTGATCCGATCATCTTCTTTTCAGTTGTTTTCAGGGGTCCCTCAAGCGTTGGTGCCGGTCTCTGATCCGGCGCTGACTCCTGTGTATTCTGTGTCCCACGGTGTCTGTCTGATGTGCACACTGCCGGCTGCCTGCATTGACTTACACTGTGTCTCCTCTTCTCCCCGCTGAAGATCTCTACTGTGCATGGGCCCGCCCCATCATCCTTCATGGCTGCTCTGGAATCTTCAGGGGGGAGCGAGCGACGGAGACACAGGTAAGTAATCGCATATTTGGATACATTTTTATGGTTTCTGCATATATCTACTGCTTGCTAGCAGTAAACACATGTAAAAACAAAAGTTACTTTAATACTATTTTAATGGCCACTGTGCCGAGCGAGCGACCTGCAAAGGGGAAGCCACTTAGCACACCTGCAGGACCTGGAAGATTACTGCAAACCACAGTAGTAGCTGCAGCCACTACAGTGTAATTAAAGCTGGGTTCACACCTAGGCGTATCGAATATGCGCGTTTCGTGGCGCTTGTTTTTGCCACTATTTGCGGTTAAAAAAAACGCACGTTTCCGAGTGATACTTGGCTGTATCCCAATGGAAACACTTGACAAAAACGCCCCAAAGAAGCTCCTGTACTTCTTTGGGCGTAGGACTTTTCGTAGCACGTTCATACTGCCTGTAATACGCCCAGGTGTGAACCATACCCATAGGAAATAATGGGATTTCGGTGTTTGAGCGTTTTGCAGAGCGTTCGAACACGCTACAAAACGCCCAGGTGTGAACCGGGCCACAGGGTCCTTGCGGCCCATCCAGGTATGAAATATATACTTTCATTGGGCCAAGCTGAACACTTAAGAAAAATACATATATGCCATCGTTGAAAATGCCTGTTGGCTGGTTTTCATGCAGACGCATGGACCCCAAACTGGTATGCAGTGACTCAAACCAAAACTTCTTATGCGCATGCTCTTCCAGTCAGTAACTGGAGTGTTGATGCCAAAGAATCAGTTTGACAGGCAGCTAGCATTTTTAGCAAGAGGTCAGCCATATTTCTTATGACAGGTTTTTAATATTTTATATCGTGTCCATATCTGTGAGTAAGTCCGGTAACATCTTCTCATTCCTCCCTTCTCGTTTACTTCTCTGCAGGTTCTAAAGAGCAAGCTTGTAAGAATTTGGAGTCTTATCTGTAATGGTTGCTGTGACATGAGCACCAGCACACTTTAAGAAGCTGACTTATCACTCTGCACTCTGTCTGGTGTTTTTTCTCACTGTTTATATCTAATTTCCTATCCAAGGCTGGTCATGAATAGTGTAAGTATAAAGATGTGTGTCTGATCAGTTTGATGAGTAAATTAGGTATGCGGAAGCATATCGAGTCTTTATTGCAGTTACCCTGCACCCTGGTTGTCGCAGTACAGCTGCACACTGGCCTAAGGTCTATGCTATACTCCTCGTGTCCTATATTGGTTAGGAAGTCTGTATACTTTGCCGCACTCCTCACCCGGATATCCCAGAGATAACGGGTGCTTGTAATGACTGCGGATGGTGCCGCTCCAAACATAGTAACATTTGCAAATTGTCTCCAGCACAGAGTTTCACGTTTGTCTTTATGACATCTATGAATAAACTGGATTTGAACTAAGGTGAATCCCTGTGCTGGACTGTTGGTGACATTTTGCAATTGTTACTATATTGGTTGGGGTCACAGCTACACGACTGTGGATACATAATATCTACAATGTTGAAATAGGAATGTGAGCTTGGTACATGCATTTGATGTGCCTGCAATACAGTTATTATTATTATTACATAGTATTTATTTAGCGCCAACAGTTTGCGCAGCGCTTTACAATGTAAGGAAGACATTACAATACAATTCAAGACAAGATAGTAAGGAGGGCCCTGCCCCTGAGGGCTTACAATCTAAAAGGGAGGGACAATTGATACATGAGGAGGTAGCTGTGTGGGGATGAATTGTTTGAGAACGTGATGGTTCAGTGGTTAGGTTGAGGTGGGATAGGCTTCCCTGAAGAGATGAGTCTTAAGGGATCGCCTAAAGGCAGAAAGAGTGGGAGATAGACAGACAGCTTGGGCTAAAGAGTTCCATAGGATTGGAGAGACTCTAGTGGCTTCCCTGAAGAGATGAGTCTTTCTCAGTCAGTTCTCATGAAAGATAGGATGCAAAACCTGCACAACATGACAATTCTCTGGGAACTGTCTGCTTCTGAAAGGAATTCTGTGCACTTTGCATTGCTGGGCATGGACAGCAGAAGAGGTAGGTATTTACTAACATCTTAGCAGTAATAGTTTTTGGAGCCCTTTTGACTTTACTGACCTACTTCCTTTAAAGGTCTAGACCAGTTTAATGAATGACACAGTTACCACTGATTGTTGTTTCTCTATAACACTTTATTGATAACTATTGCCATTTCTATTATTGTGGTTCTTCCCTTATTTTATATGGTTTTGATTTAAAAACCTTCGCACAGCTCTTCACTGTGAAATTCCTATGTTCCTCACCTCCATCTATTGGGTATACAGCACTGAAAAGCTCTTTGCTGTGCGAATGGTTTATAAATCCGTCCTTATGTGTTAGGGCTTGTTCACGCCAGCAGCCATGCACAACTGCTTGGCTCCTGGTATGCATGTGCTCGGACAGTGCTGATGTGCTCAATCGAGCCGCATTAAACTGTTTGTTTTTTTTAGTTAGAGCTTTATTGAAATGTCACAAGAACTTTCATTAAGATCTATGGGCACACCATGGTGTGATGTGGTTGTACCATGTCTCACTCAGGTGTGCTTAATCACTTGAACCCCCTTCCTGTCCCGGCCTTTTTTCAGTATTCTGCGCTGAGGAAGTTTGACTGGCTTTTATTCAGTCATGCAACACCCTATCAAAATACATTTTATATAATTTCTCTGGGACAGATGGAACTTACTTTTGGTGGTATTCAATCACCACTGGGGTTTTTATTTTTATTTTCTATATAAATTAAAAAATACCAAAAAAAAATTGAGAAAAAAAAACTTTTCTCTACATTATGTTAAGAAACCTCTATTATTACCCAATTTTTTTGTAGAAAAATAAAAGATGGGGTCCCGTTGGGCAATTGGATACCAAACACGTCAAGCCTTGTGTGTGCCCGCGAAATCGCAAAAAGCTACCCTACCCAAAATAACATAACCAGAAATGGCAGCCTGAAAGTGGAAGTTATGTTAAACACATCACTATCGCATTCAGTGATCGGAGGGGAGAACAGCCGGTGGAAGTGTGCTGATCTCCCTCCGATATCCGCGCAGAGAGCTGCTGTGTTGGTCCCAGGCTTATACGTGGGACAGTGGAGCCCGGGGTAACCGGTGAAAGGGTGCACGCACCATAAAAGTGATGAATGCTTGTATGTAAACGATGTACCCTTTCCCACTCCCACACACGAGCGGAAAAAGCTGTTTATTTATGGTAACCCATTACTAGGAAGCTGCCATCCGTCCGTTTAATTACAATGGCAGGACAGCAATTAGGTAAAAATTGAAGTATTTCATTGCATACTTTTCTAAGCACACACAGGGTGAACTGTGCGCACCCGTGACCAGGCATATTGACTTGTATTGCATTTTGGATGAATGGGCCCTTACTCTGTTATGTGTTTTACATTATTTATGGCATATTAAAAACATATCTGATTTGTACACAGCCTCTCGAAATGCTGTTTTTTTGTAGGCTTATGTTGAAAAATATTTTTACTGGCTGAAGCCTTCAAGCAGAAACCCAACAATAGATCTAAGAAAAATAAATGATCGAAGCAAAACAAAGTACCAGTAAAAAGTGCAGTACATTAATATTGCATTTATCTGTGTATGGGATGATGTCTCATCTCTCATATATAATGCGTAGCTTCTGTTGAGTTGTTGTGTTGCATGCACGGCTTGAAGTTAACCATGACACATCACTAATCAGCATTATATATGTGGGGAGTTAGGGCTCGTTTCCACTTTGACCCCCATGCTAGTTCTCTGGTAGTTTTGCTGTGCTTTAGTACATTTTAGTCCGTTACCTGGATCAAGCCTTTGAGCCTCAGACAAGTGCCTTTGCCTAGCCTGAGATGATGCAATCAGTCTGCTGCAGGCAGAAGGAAGTGTTCACGCATTAACTTTGTAACAAGGTGAGAAGCTGCAGCAGGGGCTGATCCATGTCAGACAATTGTGCATTCAACCAAGAAGGGCACAGTCACTAGGATTGATTTGAATGTGTCCTCTCTAAGCTGTCATTCCAGTCCGGAATATAGATGATGATCCTGGGTGATGGCTGAACAAAGACATCTCTCTTCCTCTAGAGAGGGAAGCAGATGAACGTTTTGTCAGGAGAAGTACTGGTAGAGAAATACCAATAAGTGGTTAGACATTAGTGACATTATTTAACATGAGAAATGTACAATTTTCTGATGCTAGGTCTTTAAATTGGACCGGAACTCAAAAAGTGTACACTGAAAAATGTACCTCTTGTAATGAATTCCTTCTTAAAAATAGCACTTCCTGGTATGTGAATGTGTCTAGGCTTACAACCTCATCATCTGCAGTATGAGGCCTAGGGTGGTAGAGGTTGCCCACCTACACTGGAAAAGGGACGTCATACAAGATGTAGATCAGCGCTTCTCAACCTGTGGGTCGCGACCCCGTCAGGGTTCGAATGACGATTTGCCAGGGGTTGCCCGGGAGTCTCCCGTTATTAGATAGCGGCTCCCGGCCACCCGGGAGAGAAACACTTTCTCCCGGAAACCTTTCCCTGCGATTGCTTTTTGTTTTTTCCGACATCGGGGGCCACCTTGAGTTGGAAAAAAATCAAACCCACCATAGGAATGCATAGCTAGATTCCTATTGGCTATTTCACTTTGCAACATTGGGATGCTGGAATTCATATAAATTCCTTACTACATCTTCCCAGAAAGAGTAGATTGACTGACTGACTGACTGACTCATATGGCAAAAACAAATTATTCTGTTTGCTGGGGAATATCACTGAATAATAAGGCTAATCCCAACAAATAGAAAAACATGTTCTACATCAGTGGTTCTCAACCTGTGGGTCGCTGTGTGATTTCTGCTGTGCTCGGTGAGAGTCCTCCTCAGCCCTCTCCTAGCGCAGCAGTGTCAGTTCTCTCGCCAGATGTCGCTGCAGCAGCCGCGTCGTCCCTAAATTTTACCGTTGGGGGTCACCACAACTTGGCAAATGTTACCAAGGGGTCGCGGCCCTAGAAAGGTTGAGAACCACTGATGTAGATGAACTTAGTGTAACATTGGATGAGTCTCTGGGATATCCTATGTTCTGAAGATAACATGAGAATGCGAGGAAGGACTTTGAAGTGCCTGCTCTGAGGACCATGGGCCAACTTAGACCATAACGTGAGCTCCTCAGTTCACCTCCTAGGCAGCCCCAAAAAAACAAGCAAACTGTGTTGGGCTTTCTTATTAAAAAAGCCCATCCTACACTGCAAGCTGTGTCATAGAAGCACCATGAAATGTTTATTTGTGAAACTCTTATTCTCCAATCTGAACTCTTTTAGTGGCTTATAAAAAAAACCCACCTTGAACGTTTATACATTTCTTCTGATTAACCACAGACCATTCTGGTTTCCTCATGTAATCCTTCTTCATTCTCCTTTTTCTAGGCCCAGAGAAAGCGTAGAGGATCTCAATCAACCAAAACCAGATCTTCACACAAGAGAAGAAGAGGGAACACGTCAACCAGTGCAATGACAACAGTTATAGAGCTGGAAGAAAGTGGTAAGTATTCACGGTCAAGAAACTCTATATGTTGTCATGCATTTCTGAAGCTCGGGTGTGTAATTGTATAGGATTTGCTATTTTGCGTTGTATGTAACTGCAAAACCTGTTTGCTTTTGTGTAGCACAGAAATCACCTTTCACTAGTACACAACTTGTAATTGAATGTTTTCCAAATTTCTCAAGTAAAAAATAGAATTCCTCATAATTCTCAGGATTGAGTAATCTTTTTTGCCCCTGTCAACTGTGCAAAATCCTTGGGACATTTATATTGAACTCATTTGTTTGCTGACTGGCTGGTAAATGTGCTAGAAACGTTCACCTAGCTATAAAAAAAAAACGGATATTGATTGCTGGGACACACTGGAGGACTTCAGCTGCCTTTTGGCTTTGACAAGTTTCTGTTCTGTCTCTGCACTTTTAAAGTGACATTAAACTCAGGTGTTAAAACTTAAATATGCATTCAAGTGACCTAACTATTAACAATACTATATCTTGTTTGTGCATCACTCAGCTGTAGATCCTCAAATCATCTCTGAATTTAAACTGACACTGTCCTTCCTTCTGGAGGGTGGCTACTTTTGTTGCCCATTGTTCCTGTGTGTGTGTGTTGTAAAGTAGTCACCGCTCCAAGCTCGCTACTGGGATGGACTACAATCTCATTACAAATGAGTAAACTAAACATTTGTAGTCTATCACGGGAGTGAGCTTGGAGCGGTGACTACTTTACAACACACAGGGACCATGGGGAACAAAAGTAGCCACCCCCCAGAAGGAAGGATAGTGTCAGCACCAATTCAGAGATGATTGGAGGATCTACAGCCGAGTGATACACAAATAAGATACATTATTGTTAATAGATAGTGTTCTTGAATGTATTTTTAAGATTTAACTCCAGAGTTTAGTGTCACATTAAGGAGGTATTCATTACTTCCAGGCATACTTTTTTATAACTCTATTTATTGCTCTGTATGGCTCAGGATTGGAGCTCTGTTAAATCAATGTTAGGGACCTCACTAGAGATGCACCAATACCGGTAGTCCCATTAAGGAAGCCAAGCGGTGTGTAATGGCTGGCCACCTGGCTTCCTGATTAGCATGGAGCCGGCTTTTTGGCCAATCAGGAAGCCGGGGGCGTCTAATGACTCTCTTCCCAGCTTACTGATACCGGAAGTTCGGGTATCGGACTAGGCATCGGAGGAGTACTCGCTATCGGTGCATCCCTAGACCTCACTATTATTTTTTTATTATTAAAGGTATTTATATAGAGCCAACAATTTTATGCCGTGCTTTATATAGTGCACATTCACATCAGTCCATGCCCTCAAGGAGCTTACAATCTAAGGTCCCCCATGTCACATGCATACATACTGGTCCAATTTAGAGAGGAGCCAGTTAACCTTACAGCATGTCTTTCGGAGTGTGGGAGGAAACTGGAGTACCCGGAGGAAACCCACACAAGCACATGGAGAACATGCAAAGTGGCAGTGATAAGGCAGTGTGGCTTCCACAAAGATGTGCAAATATTGGTCACAAACATCTGAATTTTTTTGTATACATTGTGCTTTATTTAGATTTACACTATGCCATCGTTGGCTGGGCAACAGTGCGGGACAGCATGTTAAATGTTAGGATTTCATTGCTGTAGGGTGAGGGTGCTCTCCGCACACCTTTCAGCAGTCCCGGCCAGTACACAGGGATGGTGCTTGTAGTAACTCCACGGATGGCACCGTGCAAAACGAACAGTTGAAGAAATAGGTCACCAGCACTCAAAAAGTTTAAAAATGAATAAGTCCTTTTTATTGGACCATGGTGTCGCGACAATCGAAAAAAGCCGACGTTTCGGGGCCACGCAGGGTCCCTTTCTCAAGGCAGAAAATGTGACCATCACATTTTCTGCCTTGAGAAAGGGACCCTGTGTGGCCCCGAAACGTCGGCTTTTTTCGATTGTCGTGACACCATGGTCCAATAAAAAGGACTTATTCATTTTTAAACTTTTTGAGTGCTGGTGACCTATTTCTTCAACTAGGATTTCATTGCTGTCTCCGTTAGGGAAGTTTATTCTTTTCTAGTTGTCCTGATCACCATTGTCACCAGGAATAGAGGGGAAATATTCCAATGGGGACACTTGTTCCCATGGCAGCGTTCTTAAGAGGAGATTTCCTCCACATATTTGAATTTACAGATCGAATTTACAGATCAGGAAGTGAAGGGGAATCTCTCTAATGTGACACAGAGGGTGAAAAAAAAAACCTGACAGAGGTTTGAGCCCTCCACTACTCTATCCAAAATGGGGAGAAAACCAATTGTGGCTTTAGATTGACTTCAATTATTCTGACAGATGTGAATGAATTCATGAATAGGTTGTTTGGTTGCTATTGGTAGAAAACGTTATTGCTCTTTTAGTAGCAAATATGTAAACTGTTCCTTCGCCAGTAATAGGTAATTTTTTTGCATGTGTGCAGTGGATGAAGTTGTGGATTTGACGTGTGAATCCTATGAGCCATCCGTTGTTGACCTAACCGACCTAACTCACAATGATTCTGTGGTGGTAAGTTTTTTATTAGTTTACACTTCAGCAGCAAACATTATTGGAGTCATTCTGATAGTCTGAATTGTATTTATATAGTGTTGCCTTATTCTCAGGCTGCCTTATTCTGAGGTCGCAAAAAGGGGGCACTTGGCAGGCATGTTAATATTTTGCCAAGAGTCTGGCTGGGTCTGGCTGTGCACTGAACAACTTGGTACACGTTTCCTCTTACGTTGGCTTCAACACTGCTCGCAGCATTCGGGACTCGATAGATTATTGACTAGCATATATTTTTCTGATAGAATTCTCAGCATGAGGGATGTACAGCCCCACCATGTAAAGGGTGGATGCAGAACCCAACATAAATACTATAACAATACACAATGTACAGAGAAATAGATGGTATGAGGGTCCTGATCACTAAAGCTTATCTTTAGAACAACGTGACCGTACAAGGTTATAATCTAGATATTTAGTAGGTAATGGGAAATAATAGAAAAGGGGGAAGGACCAGCTATATATATAATTTTTCTGCATAGTGATATCATGTATGTACATTATACATGAGCTCAAAAGGATTTCTTGACCTGTAGGTCTTCCTGTTTGTGCATTTTCCTATCAGGTAGGAAATCCTACAGGTAGGTGCGATTTCCTTCCCCCAACTGGAATAACAGTGTAAATTGCATTATATTTTCTTTTCCTCCCCATTCTTCTCACAGTGGTCATTTTTACTAAGGGCAGAATAATCCATCTCCCTTTACTTCCTGGAACTCTGGCGCATGTGACTAGGACATGTGACCATGCACATCATCTCATGGGGGGTAAAATTCCTTTCCCTGGAGTTTTCGTGAGGTTACAGATAAGATTTCCCAGCAATGCTCTGTGATGTAACCTTCCCAGGATGCAATGCTTGGGCACATTACATTACTAATGCCCAAGAGGACCAGGAAGTGGAAAAACAATAATTGTAAGTAAATAAAAAATGTGTTTAATGTAATATGATCTCATATCCGCATGCAGAGTTGCATGCTGATGTGATTTATAGTGAAAGGGAGTGAGGGTCTCTGTGGGAGTAGGTGTAGCGGGCGTGGTGGTTATGATTTAGGGTGGGGGAGGGAGGGGAAAGATGGGATCAGGACTCATGAGGTACGCCCATGGCATTTAAATTAAGATTATTATGGGAGTAGCTTGTATACCCCAGCTGTGCTGTCAGTGTAACAGTATGCATAGCACTTCTTGTGCAATCTTTATAACTATTGTACATTAGTATTTAAATATTTATTGCTCGAGTTATTATAACTTATTTTTTTTTTCTTTTCTCCTTCTTTCACCAGATTGTTGAAGGTGAGTTTATTTTAGTTTCCTTTACCTTATTAATACTAAGATTTCTCACCCAGCTATCAGCTATCACCCTCGTACTTTCATGCTTTGTTCCTGAACTCCTGCTAACAACAAATTTTGTAGATATGGCCATGTAAACCTTCTTGCCACCCCTAGGCCAGCAGTCTTAGGTTGTCACTTCTTCCTCCTACCCTAGTAAACATTTGAACATTAGCATCACAAGAACAAGATCCTGTGTTTTAACACCCCAAGGCTTAAGGTGGGTCGGGGCAGACAGGCTGAAAGTGGAAGTTTTCCTGCTGCGACAGTAGAGCTAGAACTGCATAATGTCACCGTTCTCTGATAGCATTGCGGTTCAACGTGTGTAGACTGTTGAACTGTTTCTATACACTACACCAGTGGTTCTCAACCTGTGTAACCTCAGGACCCACATTTGTCCTTGGTCATCAGGGTGCGACCCAAATCGCACTGCAATGGAACGCACGGCATTAGGGTACCGCATGTTCTGATGCGGGCTTACGAACTGTGGGTGGGAGGTGCGTTTTGGAGTACCATTCAAATGAATGGCAACGCAACACACCTCCTACACCAGAATGCACGCTAGGTGCGATTGCGTGGTATGGTTTACCGCACTGCACTAGTGTGAACAGACCCTCAAAAACACTGACACACATACACATTCTCGCACACACATACACACTCCAAAAGGTCCACCCAGCTTCCCTACCTTATGAGGACTGAAGTGGATCCTCAGCCTGGGGTCTAGTGTGGGCTGTGGCGGAGCTCCATCCATATGTGTATTGCTTGTCCAGCTCCCTTGCGTGCCGTAGAGATGCCGGGAGCCAGAATGTGACATCACTCCAGTCCAGGCACCTCTAGAGGACATGTGAGGAAACTGTAAGCAATGCATGTATGGATGGAGCTCCCTCATGGCCATACCCCCAGCCCATCCCACCTCAAGCTGACACTCGGCGACGGGCAGCGTATTTTAAATGCTTGGCTTGAGAACTGACAGTGTGGTGCTAGGGGGACGCAAAGGAGCCTCTCACCTAGAAAAGTGGAAAGCATGTGGTGGCCCACTGAACATGGGGTCGCGACCCACCAGTTGAGAACCAAGGCACTACACTATTCCACCAACAGAACTGTACACACTGTGCAAGTACAGCATCAGTGACCCTCCAAGATTTCACTGACAATCTTTTATTTTGCATTAGAATGTGTTGCTGATGCTTAGAAAAGTGTGGTTGGCTATAGCCAGCCCCTGGCAGTCGTGCTGTCCTAGGCCATGGTCTTTGTTGGCTATATAGAATTCTGTCCCTATGTGTAGACAGACATAAAATTCCCCCATTTGGCCCAGTTTCCAGCCCAGGTGTGGGGTTTGAACATCTATCAGGTTTTTATTGCTACATGTATCCCTGCTGGGGACATACAGACCATTATCTCTAATATGGAAAATTATGAGTTGTCACAAGAACAGTAGCATAGCGTAGATCTTCCACTAAGGATGCCTGTCCCGGTGACAGCTGTCTAAGAGGGATATTACTTCAATGTTGAGAGTTCACGTCTTACTTCCTGTTGTGACTTTGGGGCAGGAAGTTAAGAGAAAGCACTCCGATGGGACACACAGCATAAAGAAAACTCATAGGAGTCCTAACCATCCTCCAGTCTCTAAAATTTAAAAAAAAATTTGGTTTTACATACACTTTAAATGTCATTTTAAATGTACCTGTGCAGGCTCCCCCATCCCCCTCCTGTTAGGTATTCTGCTTCTTCACAGCTTTTAGTTGCAGTGCAGACATAGTGCCATAGGGCTACAAATTCTATAGTGATAAAGGGAAGAGCCTTCTGTATTCTGTCTTTTTAGGGAAAAGGATGAGTGTTGGGGCTGTCACTGAGGTATAGGTGGAAGGGTATCTTTGCCTAACAGAAATGGATTTTTATGATTTCTTAAAGTGGCACTAAACTGAGGAATTAAATCTTAAAAATGCATTCAAGTACCTTAACTATTAACAAAAATCTATCTTTATGTATCACTCGGCTGTAGATCCTCAAATCATCTCTGAATTGGTGCCGACACTGTCCTTCCTTCTGGAGGGTGGCTACTTTTGTTCCCCATGGTCCCTGTGTGTGTTGTAAAGTAGTCACCGCTCCAAGCTCACTCCTGTGATGGACTACAATCTCACGTTTAGTTTACTAATCTGTATTGAGATTGTAATACATGACAGGAGCATGAAGCGGTGACTACTTTGCAACACACAGGGACCATGGGGAACAAAAGTAGCCACCCTCCAGAAGGAAGGACAGTGTCGGCACCAATTCAGAGATGATTTGAGGATATACAGCCGAGTGATACACAAATAAGATAATTTTTTTAAATAGTGAAGGTACCATACTTGAATGCATTTTTAGGATTTAACTCCTGAGCTTAGTGTCACCTTTTTAAATTTCAAAAGTTTTTTTAATTATTATTTTCCATTAGAATAACAATACAAAGATCGACAAAATAACATCAACAGTTGCGGAATACAAAAATCTTAGTGTCACTTTAAAGGGAAGAGCCTTCTGTAGTTGAACCCTTCCTAAGGAAAATGTGCCGGAACTGCCATAGAGAAATAGGTGGAAGGGTCTCTTTGCCTAACAGAAATTAGATATTTATGGTTTCTCAATAACAGACTAAAAATTGACTCTTTAAATTTCTTATTTGTAGGAAGGCTACACTGAAATTCTGGGGAGGGGATGGGACCTTTACCTATTTACCTACAGTGCATGGCAATGCCACTGTGTAATTTGGCAAAATGGTCAGCCAGGACTCTCAGCCAGAGGGGCTGAGCGGTTCCACGAAGCAAGTTATTGTACTGGGAAAGAGCTGGCTTTGCAGTTCTTTCCAGGTCTTCTGGTTTTGGCTTGGGTTCCTGGAACTGGGAGATTTCTAAGAGAATTGGGATGGATGAAATCTCCATTCCTAAGTCTGTATTTTGCTAGTGACTTGTGCACAACCCTTATGAAAAGGCTACTGGCTGATGTTCATGGCTCCACCTGGAAGGACAGTGGAGGAGGGAGCTGCGGGTTATGAACAGATTGTGCAGGATAGCACGGTGTCGAGGCTGTCGGGAAGGAACAGACAGTGGTCTGAGGCCGCAGCAGCGGTGCTGCAAGTCCAAAGCCAGGAAGCTGGATGTGCATATATTTGTATTGCCTAGAGATACTGAAGATGCATTGTTTTCCTGAACTTTCTTTGAATAAAAGTGGGAAGTAAGCCTTTTTTAAGTGGAAGTGTCCTTAAAGCTCTTCTATTTGAAGTCAGATCTCACACCATATTTGTGATTTCTTTTCTCTAGCTAGTGGGCGAAGCCATCATTTAACCGGGGCTGTAATTGAGGAGTGGTGACAATCTGTCTGCTGATAAATCATTTATGCATTTCTACCTTATTTGCAGAGCACCAAGGCCAGAGAAGAAATAGAAGAAATCCAGCCAGCGGGTCCTCGCATGTTGCGAGTATATTAAGCAGTGACGATGAAGATTCAAGAGATAACGACATTTGTTTTGGTGGCAGTAAATCCAGCGACGTAACATCTTCACACAACACTAGATCTAGGTTGAGCACCTTTAGCCTTTTACTGCTGTATGTGAGGAAACCACAAAGTTAATTGTCTGTGTTGCCTATAGCCACCAATCATCTTTTTCTTAATCCATTTAATACGATTTGAAAGAACTAAAATCCAGTGCATGAAAGGGGTGGGCCAAGGGGCCATAAGGCTGGGCAGGAATGAGCTAAATGATGTTAAACACCCTCCAGCCAAGGAATGAGGTGGGCTTTATCTGACTATGCTAGTATGGTGATAGCACGTGTTGTCCGGCAGCTAATATAGGTGCCAGCTGAAGAAATCAAGCTGGTAACGCTATTTCACAAAGGATTGGGGGGTGCAATGTTACCCAGCCAGACATACTGGGAGGTTAGATGAAGCAAATTGCTTTATTTTACCATCTTGCACATATCCGTATATATTTCTGGGTACAGTTCCGCTCTAAGTATGTCTCTTTTTTTTTTTTTTTTACCGCATCATATGTAATTCTAACACTGTGCCATTTCTGTGTATTTTTACAGGTCGACTGGAGGAAATATTATTTGTCCTATTTGTATGGATAGCTATTCCGAAGTGAGTTTCATATGTCCTCAGAGCTTTTTCTTTTATCTATTTTTTTATTATTATTATTTATTATAACTACTTGAATAAGGGTTTCACACTGTGCCTGGTTTCTAGTGCTGTTAAATGTAGAGGTTTGCTTGCCTAATACAATATTTGTCATCAGACATGGAAAGACATAGATGGTCGTCTTGTCACCAAGGAAGGCTGCTTACCTTACCTTCTGAGGGTCGCTCTGAGAGTCTAAGGCACATTGTGAAATTGGGCTATTTGTCCTTACGTCATTACTGCCTGATTGATGACATGGCAAGTGATCACGGCCAAGTAGAATGGCACATGCTGACAAGTCAACCATCTAAACAGCACACAGCAGGTGTATGTCCAGAGGTACAATGATATGGAAAATAACGGTCAAAAACAGAGCTTACTGGGCAAAAGGGAAGATTGTATTTGGAGCAGATGTTCATAAAGACCAGGGGTAGGCAAATTGTGGCCCTCCAGCTGTTGTGGAACTAGAAGTTCCACGAAGCATTGCAAGATTCTCACAGCCACATGCATTACTACCAGAGACAGATGCATCATGAGATTTGTGGTGTCATCACAGCTGAAGGGCCAGGGGTTTGCCCACCCCTGATATAGAGCATATGTTGTTTGGCATGAATTTCTTGGCATGTTGCATGACAGCTACAGACTTCATATATTCATGTGTCTTAGTACAAAAGTATTACTACTACTAAGAAAGCAATTTTTATGTCTGTTGTACATTTGAGGGTTAGGTTGAAGGAGAATACCTCAAAGGCAGCTCATTGTTCAACTGAAGAAGCCCACACAGCAGGCTCACAATTCTGCTGATTGCAGTGATTAAGCATTGTCAGCATGCTGCAGTTAGGGCCCATTCACACTATTGCTCTACGTTGGTGCACACAGCGCGCATGGAATTAAGGCAGCCTGATAATTTGAATGGGTTGCTCAATGCACCACGACACACCCAAAAATGTGCACAAGAATTTTTGGCAGTTGTCACACTGCACATTTGTCAGCAAAGTCCATCAGGGCGTTATTCAGAATGAATGGCATCACATTGCACCAATGTGTATAACGTACCTTATAGTACTTTGCTGCGACCCAGTATTGTGACTGGGTCCTAAGTGTTACTGGCAGGATCGTAAGTAAGAAACTTTGTAACATTCACAAAAATGATTTGCTAACAAAAACTTTACACAGTGAGACACAATGACAAATGTAATTTTAAAAAAATCTATTTTGGGGTTTACATACACATTAAACATGCACTTCGTTCTTTCAGTGTTTGAAACCTTCCAGGACTTGTTTAAATTCCTTCCTTTCATCTTAAAATCTGCAATGTGAAAACAAACTGTGTGAATCCGATTACTTCCTGTGGGCACCATATTTGTTCCTTTGTCAGACAACACTAATGTGATCCGGTGGTACTTCCCAGCTCATTGTGTGAGGGAGATCTCAGGCTGGGATATCTAGCACTGTGCTCTGTCAGGTTTATGCCAGTTTATACCTCATGACATGTAACAACAATTAGTTTACAATGTGTTTTTTTTCCCCTAGATTGTGCAAAACGGACGTCTCATTGTGTCAACGAAATGCGGTCATATATTCTGCAGCCAGTGCCTTCGTGATGCCCTTAAAAATGCCACCTCTTGTCCAACCTGCCGGAAGAAACTTACACACAAGCAGTATCACCCCATTTATATATGACGGATCAGTAAGGTGTACATTTATAAAGCCGAGAATCTGACTTGCTGAAAGTCACTTTCACAGCTTTATAGGTATACCCCTAATTGTGTTGTGTGCCCAGACCGGACCTACCCCTGAACTCTCTGCAGTGGTGTTTTAGGTGGTGTGTCCAGGAGGGTATATTGTGTTGGGACACAAGTTTCTGTTGAAGAAAATTTGCACATTATTTCTGCTTTGCGCAATGCTAGCTCTGTGTGGCCAGGGACAAAGAAATACATGGTTTAGGACTTGCATATTGGTTCTCTTACTTTTCAAAGCACTTCCTTTTGGCAGAGGGTATTACAACTTTTTCAGGTGGCTCTTCTGGGTTTGCCGGCTTCAGCAGCTCCATACATGTTGTATGGTTTGTGCTGCTTCCATGTGAGTTGTCCTTTTAACATCAAGCCCCAGCCAGCTGGTATCTGGTTATCTTAATATTTAAAGGACCTGAAAGAACAACGAAATACCAGGTTTAGCCCCTGCTCCTCGAGTTGCCTTCAGGTGATGAAGGTCCACCTCTCTGACAAATGTGACATTGTAAAGCAGATATCAGCTTAGAATTAACATTTTACCTTGTACTTAATTATTTTGTTTCAAATAAGAGTAGTATTGCCACTTTAAATGGGACCAGTCACAACTGGGCTTGTGCAAGAGTTTGAACATACGAATGAAGTGATTGTGCAAGCTTATCAAATGTTAATATTAGCCCCCTTATTTAGCCTTGCTTCATCATCTAGGAATGAAGCCCTCTGAGTAGTGACAGTTACCACCCGTAAAACTGTCTCCCAAATCCAGAGTATGTATATAGCAGAATCAAATAACAGAGCCCTGACGTTAAAGGGAGTGTGTGGTGTGTTCTTCTGTGGGTAAATTTTTTTTTGTGATTTTGGATGTGGCGTAATTTTTAGTGCTTGCTTTTCCATGTTTTTATTGCATTATCTGTAGAGGTTTGTAAGCTGGTACATAGATTGCATGACTTTTAGTCTGTCCAAACATACCCAAATATAAATCATTCATGTGTGAGCCTGCACGGTTACTGAAGTTTAAACCTGAATATTCAAATTATTCCCAGAGCCCTATTATGACTGCTTCTCTTTAAGTGAACCTAGACTTCATAAAAAAACGTTTAGGAGTTCACATTCTGCCTAAAAGCTAATAGTAGATGTCTGATAAAACCTTTAATGGCCAGAAAAGGTGCTTCTGTGTGCCCCCTTCCAACTTGATTGGCTTTAACTTTGTTACTAGGACCTGACTGAGCTCCATGAAGTGCTATTCCGCTGTCCGGCGAATGTCCTTATTGGCCTTTTGTCTTATCGACCTCGCATTGCAGAGACGTATGGCAGTTGGCAGGGCTTAGCTGTAAAGTTGGGGCAAGTTGGGTCTCCAAAACAAGGTGAAACCGATTCCAAGAACCGGCAAATCATCCCTGTTTAGTAAGACCTCATGCAGACAGCGATCGAAGCTGCGGCTGGGGTTTCCTGCTTCAAGAACTTGCCGTTTGTTACTGCAGAAATCCCACTTGTGTTCATACATGTCTACAATTAGGTAGAACTTTCATGTTCAATATAGAATACAGGTACGTTTAAGTCTGTATCATCTGCTGAGCTATGTCATATGCCATCCGTGTGATTTGACAGATTTTCTCTCCCTTTGCCCCAGGACTGCGAGGTTATATCTTTAATATGTGCTGCTTCTAAAATGATCTTTATCGGCATCGAAAATCTGAGCAGAAATAACATTTGGCACAGTTCTTCTTGCATAGCTTCAGCACCTGGCCCTTTAAGTGATTACGGTGTGCTCCAAACCTTGATGTGCCATAATAAAGGTCTCTACTTGAACACAGCATGCCTATACCATTACCTGGGATTTTCCTCTGTGCCAGGTTGCCTAATGGCGCTTGAAGCATTTCCAAGGCCAGGATAATTCATGGAGTGTTTCATTTAACTTGCAGCACATTCTTCAAAAACATTTAGATTGGCTTATTTCAAGTGTGCATGTTAAACACCCAGTTGAAATACATCTGTGTGAATAGTTCTACCTGCCAAAGGATTTGTGATCAGGATGTGTTCAGCCAGTCTTGTAATTCACACATTTCTGACATTGCACAAGCCAGCGAGGTGGTGCCCTATGTTGTGTTTCAGATTTACAGCTTCTTGTGTCACCCATGCATCTCCAGCCTGCTGATGTAACAATGAAATGGCATCTGATTCTTTGTATAGTGAGCAGGAAGTTATAAAGCATAATCAGGAAATGTGGGTATTGTGTCCCTGCATGGCTCTGCAGCATTAGATATATGGGCGAATCACAAGACTGGCTGAAGAGAATGATAAATTATTTGTCGGTCTGCATCTCTATTTTAAATGGATATGTGTCTGTTAGACTAGAGTTTCTTTGTAAGTCATGTTCAGTAAGAAGGACCATTTGCATAATGTGTAAGACCCCCCACCCCCCCTTATTGTGAAATTGCAAGAAATAAGAGAGCTTTAGAGTGCACACTACCCTGTGATACCGCTCATGCCAAGTGCTCTGATGAACTTAGGAGTATCTTTTCACCTTGCATAAAGTCTACCTCTGTGTAGGTTGGAGAGAACACTTTGAGAAGGGTTCTTCAATTGTTTTTGTATGTGGGTATACCTGTTTTTTTTGTTTGTTTTTTTTTTGTTTTTTTTTTTACCCTTCTGTGTATCATTTGGTGCTTTCCCTCCCTCAGCACCTGAATTTTGCTCGGATTGGAATATGTGACTCCATTTTTCATCCGTAGCATCGCTTCTTAACTCTGATGTTCTTGGGATTGTATTGTTTTAGACAAAGATGGACATCAGACCTGCAAGTTGTCAACTTCCTGCTGCTGTTAAAGTGACACTGAGCGCAGGAGTTTAATCTTAAAAATACATTGAAGTACCCTAAATATTAACAGAAATGTATCTTATTTGTGTATCACTCAGCTGTAGATCCTCAAATCATCTCTGAATTGGTGCTGACACTGATTACTTTTGTTCATGATGGTGCCTGTGTGTGTTGTAGAGTAGCCACAGCTCCAAGCTCACTCCTGCGATGAACTACAATCTCAATACGAAGATTGTAGTCCATCACAGGAGCGAGCTTGGAGCGGTGGCTACTCTACAAGACACACAGGACCATGGGGAAGAAAAGTAGCCACCGTCCAGAAAGGACGGTGTCAGCACCAATTCAGAGATGATTTGAGGATCTACAGCCGAGTGATACACAAATTAGATACATTATTGTTAATAGTTAAGGTACTTGAATGTATTTTTAAGATTTAATTCCCGAGCTTAGTGTCACTTTAATGAGGAAGGTCTGGGAGGGTGGAAACTCCTTGTTACCGGAAGGACATAATCAGGATTTTTCCTCAAAACTAAAATTACTTATCAATTAAACACATCTTGTCTCTGTATTTGTATTTTGTTTTTATGTGTTTTAGTTTTACAGGTCTTCTTTATCTTTTGATATAATTTCTTGGAGCAATCCACCATTTTCTGACCTCATGGATTTAGCGTTGCCTATCTGTGACTTTTTTTCTTTTTTTATTGTAACTCTTAATTTCTTTAAAAAAAAATAAAAATGTGTGTGTGTATATCTATGAAACATGTACATAAGGTTCATGCAACAGTGCTTTGTATGACAAAAATAAATATCTTTATTAAAGTAAAAATTAACTAACATTGTTTATTGAAGTAATGAATGGTCTAGTGGCGGGGTCAGGTGTCTTATGATACAGTATTCATTGGTTCCTGCTAATGGCAGACAAGAAATTAGCCACCATTCCAACCCCTCAGAAGAGACCATGTGAAGATTGCCTTGGCATTAGTCACTTATCCTAGTCCTGGAGGGAGTAATATTTATTTATAATACATTACAGGACACAGGATGGTATTCAGCAATGTACTGTTTTTAAGGAGATTGGACAATGACAAAGCAAAGCTGTTAGGACAGCCCTGCATAAGACCTCCGACTTCCAGAAAGCCTCAGATGTTTGCTAGTGTCCTTATGAGATGGACATCTTCCCTCTGCCGAGAGAAGCAACGTCTTTTATCAAGATCAGCACCTTATTTTCTAGGGAACCATGCGGCGCGTGCTTACAGCACTTCTGCCATCTACACATCTCCCCCTCCTCCCAGCCAGTCCCCCTCCTGGGGCCCTCCTCCCAGTCCTGGTACCCTCCTCCCATCCAGTCCCCCTCCTGGCACCCTCCTCCCATCCAGTCCCCCTCCTGGTACCCTCCTCCCATCCAGTCCCCCTCCTGGCACCCTCCTCCCAACCAGTCCCCCTCCTGGGACCCTCCTCCCATCCAGTCCCCCTCCTGGGACCCTCTGCCCCAAACATCAGGCCAGCACCCAGAAGCAGAGGAGCAGCACAGAGTATGTAGCAAAAACATACTGTTATTCTGCATTGCTGTGTAATTTATTTCAGAGATTTGTAGTCCTATAGCTGATAATAATACCATCAGCTAAAGAGTACTACAAAACCCAGCAATACATTATACAGCAATGCAAAATAATACTATTCTGCATTACTGTATAATGTTTTGCTGGGCTTTGTAGTCATCTATAGCTGATGGTATTATTCAGCATTGGTTTATAATGTATTGCTGAGATTTGCAGTCCTCTATGGTGGTATATTGCATTGCTATATATAATGTATTGCTGAGGTTTTTTAGTCCCTCTACAACTTGAAGTCAGTGGCCGAACTACCAGGGGTGCCGCTGCAACCAGGCCCTGGTGCTCCACCACTGTCCTAAAACCATTAGTCTGTAACATTTCAGAAAAACTGTCACATGACACACACACACACACACAAAAAAAAAAAGTATCGGTAATTGTTATAGGCGGGTACTTGAGGAAAAGTATCGGCACTCGTACTTGGTCTGGAAAAATGGTATCAGTGCATCCCTAGTATTTTCCCTTTCCCACTGAATGGATAATGCATTGCACTGAAATTATCCCAATTCAGAGACACTTTTGTGTAATTGTTGCTCATTTTTAGTATTGGCAAATTTTGTTCAGCTGTTCTGGTGGTTCAGAGGCATCTGGGGTTCGTGGACATCCTCGGTGCTGATAGGGTCATCGCTAATTTAGAGTATGTG